TGGAAAAACTATAAACATAATTTGAAGTATTTCGATTGAAATACTACTATAAAGGCTACAAAGGAAATTCTACCCTGTAATGTGATTAGGTGGCAATATGAATAATTAGTTAGATTTTGGTTCTTAAGAAAATAAGAGGTACTAATTTATAACTTTTAATATTAGTTTTAAATAATAAGTGTTTTATGCTTTAAGTTGGTAATATTTGTATTTCTACCATATACACAATTATTTTTTATGACATAAAAGAGAATAGATTGGGATTGATAGTAGAAAGTAATAGAAATATAGCCACACAAGTGGATCAAAAAATTTTGCAAGAAAGGAAAAAGAAATAGTAAGTTTATGATATTAAATTTATCCCAATAAATGACCTTTTTGTGCCATTAAAAGGAAAAAATACAAATTAACAATTATTGTTTTGTTTTAATAGTTTTGATAGTTTCAATACATGATATTAAACTTATACAAAGTATTGAACTTAGTTTCCATGGTTGATATGTATAAAAAAGTTATTATTTACATCTATTTAGGACTTTTGTGCTGTTAATAGGTAAAAATACAAAATTGTTGTTATTGTTCTATTTTAACAGTTTGGATAGCTTTTATACATGATATTAAACTTGTTCGAATGATTAAACTTGGTTTCTACATTGATATGTGCGAAAAAGTTGTTTACGTCTATTTAGGACTATTTTTGCCTTTTAAAGGTAAAAATACAAATTAAACGTTTGGATGGCTTTTAACAATTTGGATGGCTTCAATACATGATATTAAACTTGTCTAAATAATTGAATTTGGTTTTCATAATCGATATGTGTGAAAGGCCAAAATGCTTTTATTGTTTACATTTGTTTAAGACTTTTGTGTTATTAAAGGGCAAAAATATCATTTTACAGTTATACTTCTATTTTAATAATTTAGATAGATTAAATACATGATATTAAACTTATTTGAAATTTTGAACTTGATTGACAGACTTGATATGTATGAATAAGTTACGGTTGATATGTATTTAACAATAACATATGTTTTTATATAGGAGATTGAGATGGGTGACAAAATTGGATGTGTGAAACTTTTTCACTTAACACAAAAAAAAAAGACAAATCTTACTTGAATGTCGAAACACAAAAAATTGAGGTAATTTGTTACATCTATTTTACCAAAAAGTAAATATTTACTATTTTTAACATATTATGAATTAATCATTAAACTTGATAGTTTTATTTGATTAATTTACAGAAGAAAGCAAAAGAGAAAATGGCTGCTAAGATTGAGTAGTATCTGATGATTGTGTTAACATATAAGAATTAAAAAATCAAATTTTCACAAAAATTGCTGGAAAAGAAATGCATGGATGAGTTTGGGGCCTTAGATTGTGTCCAACACCATTTATCTACTATGGACGTAGCTTTCAGCAATTTACATTTTTAACAAGTCAGTCTTCGTGAGATATTTTCACATTGAGAGAGGAGTTGCAAACTATGCAACAATGTTTCTAGCAAGTGAAAGCAGAAAGAGAACATGACCATACTAAAATTGAAGAATAACGTGCTAGAATGGACCAAGAGCGTGCAAAATTTCAATAGTTGCATGATCGATTCGATCATTTTATGAATTTTAGCAAAAATAATTTTCAGGAACTAATCTCGATGGTTCACTAACTCAGGTATTATATTTAGTAAATATTTATATTTTTTTAATATAAAAAATAGCTTATTATTAAGTGTTAAAACTTGTATGATATTATTCAGTAGGTTTTTGAGCACTCTAGTGACCAAGGTGAAAAAGTTCTTTCATTAAATGGTAGTCTTCCAAATCTATGAATCATCAATTTCATACATTTTAAATTTTTTGGTTAATGTACTAAAATAATTTGAATGTTATTATACTAATTATTAAACTTTGTGTTAATTACATGCATATTTGAACATGAATTATGTATTTATTAAATTTAGTTTTTGAATTTAAGTTCGTTTTTATTTATTTTTATCATTTTGTATTATTGAAAATAATAAATATTAAAAGACATTTAAAAAAAAATTCTTAATTTTGCAACTTTCGTGTTTAATAATTCTACTAAATTCTAAATTTAGTTGCATTTATACCATAAAAAGCCACTAAAATTAGTAGCGTTCTTATCATAAAAATACTGCTAAATTAGTGTCATTTTTATGATACAAATGCCGCTAATTTAACGACAATTGTCTTGACAAACATCGCTTAATAGAGCGGTGTTTTATGATATAAACGTCATCATATTAATTACGTTTTTCTAATACAAACGTTATTACATGAGCGATATTTTTCAGATACAAATACTACTAAAATAACAACGTTTTTTATAAAACATTGTTATTTTCCTCGACGCTTGTATAATTGATACTCTTAATGGTGTTTTTTACAAACATCGCAAATTATTTAGTGGTGTTTATAAACTTTGCTAATCATTGAAAAAGATATCCCTAAAGACCTAAAACCTTGTAGTATATACATTTTTAATTAATTTTATTTTTAAAATTTTCACCTAATTAATTTAAAAAATGACTCACAGTTCCTTAGGTAACTTCAAAATGACTCTCAGTTCCTTAGGTAACTTTTAGGATAAAATGCAAATTTACTTTTATAGATACTTAATTGGGTAAATTTACTATCAATCTTTCAATTAATATAATTTACTTTCTTACTTATAATTTGGAAACAATTTTATCATCATATTTTAAATTTTGTAGCAATTAAAAAATATTTAGTAAAAAAATTATGTGAAACCTATTTTATAGATAAAAAAATATTTTTGAAGATGATATGACAGGAAAAAAAACAACTATGAGACTAAAATTTATTATTTTATTTTATTTATTCTTTTATCATGGTATTTTTTATTAAATATAATGTTACATAATTAGAATTTTATTTTGTTTTATTTTATTCTTATTTTATCATGACATCTTTTATTACATATAATATCACACCATTTTGTTCGGTTAATCTTCACCTTCTTTCCTTGTCATGTTACTTTTTTAAACAAATTTCTTTTCTGAACTATAAAACAATTTCTTACAAAATTTCCTAATGAATATTCTTGATTGCTTCAAATTTTGAATCATGATGATAAAGTTACATTAAAATTAAAAGTATAGTTGCAGCAATTGATAAATTAATGATAAATTTAGACTACTTACTAAAGTAAAATGATAAATTTTACCCTATACCTAACTTTCATTTTTCTCTTTACTCATCTTTTTCTTTTTCATTTTTTTTCCTTCATCTATTTCTTCTCTTTCACCCACATGATGATGGGTGTGCCAAAATCTAGTTATTTATAATCTTCCTAATTGAGTTTAATGTTACGAGTCAAGTAAAACAAACTTCTTTTCATATGCGGTTAAAAAAAACCTACTCACAGTCATATAATTTCCTTATCTTTTTAAATATCTTTTTTAATTCATTATTTTCACCTTAGGTGGATGTTAAAAAATCTAGTTAATCATAAAACTTCTAATTGAGTTAGTGTCAAAAATCAAGTGGTATCAACTGATTTGGGAAATTGACAAAAAAAAACAACTCATTATATAATAAAATATAAATTAGGAAGATTATTTTAGTCTTTCACTATTTTTGAAAATATAGTTTAAAGGTATATTTAGTATATAAAACTATGATAAAATAAAATAAAATGATATCATGAATAAGATTAAATTAAATAATGTTATCTTATCTTGTGTTTGATATGTGTAAAAATTAGAATACGGTAATTTAGTTATTGATCAAAATTATTTTTTCTCAAAGTTTATATAATTTAGATTATTGATATAATTTTTAAGCGTATAATAAGTATGTAAGTTCAATTTCATAAATTATAAATAATTCTCTTTATTTTTAAAGTATTGAATCATTATATGCAAAGAGGATAATTAATTATCTTTGCAATTCTATTTTTTTTAAATACAAATAAAATATGATTTAAATTATTATTATCTTATCTTATCCTTATTTTATACATCAAACATAATCTAAATTCATTTATTTTTAAACTTACATTTTTACCTATTTTAAATTATATGCGAATCACATTCCTATTCTCTCTATTTTACATTTTTAAATATCTATATCTTTTGCTTTTAATATTTTATCTGAATAATATAAGTGCCTTTTACTTAACCCCAATAAGAGTGTTAAAGATTAGTTTGGTTAAAAATTATCAAAACTAAAATATTTTATAACATAAAACTCAATTGATATCTTTAAAAATCAAGTTCGACCTCCATCTACCTACTTAAGTTAGGTTTATAATTAAAAAAATCAATGCTTTAATTCAAATATATTTTAGATTTAAAATTTAATTAAAACAAGGACAAATGCCCTCTTCGCATCAAAATCTATATAATATATATGTAATTTTTAAGTGATCAAGGTGATTTTTTAAAAAATTGTCTTTGGGGTTACAAGTATCACTATAGAATGTTTTACAATCATAAAAGAATTATTTCAATATTTAAAAGAAAACGTAGTTATAAAAGAAACTTTCTTTACATTTATCAAGCCACTTTATAAAATCAATATATATATATATATATATATATATATGACACAATTATAAACTTATAAATTTAAACCAAAAATATTAAAATAAGAGCGAAATTCTAAAAGAGAAATTTAATATTAAAATATAATTTACCAAAATAATTCTACACATCTATACATAAAAAGAGACATTCCATTTGCAACCATAATTTTGGTTATCGCAGCCAAATATTTATAATTTTTTATTATAAAATTACTCTTATAAACCTAATAAAATTACAAAAGTAACCCTCACCTCCCGGCCACACCTAATTATTTTACCTTTTCTCACAACTCGACATCATCTAAACCAGACTTTATTTTCTCCGGTCCGGTGAAGTTAAAGGACGCCGAAAATAAGATATAGAAAGCGAAAAGAAAAATCAAGTGTTGTAACATTGAAGAGGGAAAAGATATACCTCAATTGTTTCTTGTGTGCCTAATTGTTGGGAGCATTGTCAATGTCATCTGGATGCTTTTTCTTATCAAGGTTTTTCGTTGTTAAGTGCAAAAATATTTACTTGGCTGTATTAACAATTTTTAAGAATAATACTAAGCAAAATCATATCGAATTCTCCAGAAACTAAAAGAACAACTTAATTAGAATGCAATTGAAATTCAGAATTCATGCAATTAATGCCAACAGGGACAAAAACCAAAAAAATAAAAAAAATCTTTACAAAGAAAGTTCTCAGCACCTGAGGACAAGCCAACAGCTTCATATAAACCAAAAAAATATAAGAAAGATATCTGTAAAAGCCAGTCTTAACCGAGATTATTGTGTAAACCTTACACAAGAATACAATATACATATATAAAAGAAAACAAAATTGACCTACACCTGCAAATTTCTGACAATAATAAATTAATGCTGCAGACACAAGTGAAGAGATGAAATGATAAAATCTCTCCAGACCTTCACAAGGACGAAAGCATATCTCACAACTCATCCTGGGACCATCTGAGATGCTTGAAAATCTCCATCTAATTAGGGCCCTTGATCCAACAAAATCAAGGAAGACTTCAAATATATGAACCACCCGGAATTTGATTATCTTCCAACCACCTACTGAAACACCTTCCTTAATCTCTCAGCAGAAAGGGCTGCTCTTTTATTGGTTGGCTCAAGCACCAGGGCATAACTAAAATCTGCAGTGCCAAAGTCCCACTACTGTAACACAAATCCAGTTCTATATACTCACCCTAGAAGCATTAAATTTTGAAATGTTTCTATAGGAAGGTCACAACTTGAATGTAAGCAAAGTTCAATGCTTTCATTCTAAAGTTCAATGCTTGTATGTGATACGACTTCACCCCCTTCACCAAAAACCATAAGCATGTTATATTTCTTTCTTCACCAAGTAAATAAATTTCAACTGCCAAGACAAATAATATCATATTGTTTCCATGCTACAAAACTTTTCTCAAAACATACAATCCACACAGGCCATGAGCACTCGTAATTCTCCATTCTGACCTAAATATCGCAAAGAAAAAACTCACCTTCAATTGCCTCCTTATAGTAACCAAGCATTTCTCTAGCAGTGCCTCTCCGTAAATATGCCTTTACATTCTGAGAAATATAATACGAAACAATATATTATAGCAACGAAAACAAAGAGAAGAAGAAAATACTAATAATAATCAGCATAAGGAAATTCTCCACTAAATCCAAGCATCATGCAATCCTAATGCATTCACTAACACGTTAGTCAATGGATCAAAAAAGGTAATCAAAACTGTAATTGGGAACTAAATGAATGGAAAAACATACATATTTGCTGCTTGCTTAAAAAAAAAAAAACCCACTTAATATGTCCGCTTCAAATCAAACAATTCACAAGAACTTATTTTCATATGCATGCTCTTGAATATATCACCCTTTTTCAAGAGATAAATTTCTGTAATTGTCTAAAAAATAACAGAAGAAATTGCAAAATTTGTTTCATGATAATACAGGCAACCAGTTTGATATTGGCAAGCATCTTAATATCAAACCAAACTCATATAAAGAAAGTCCAAATGATTAATAGACACATTTCATTTATCCATGAAAGTAAAATTTTTAAAACTTTTACTTCCTACAATCATCGTTCGCTTATTTGCTTTAAGAAGCAAAAAGCAAGTAGCAAAAACAACAATCAACTGGATCCTTAGCATGGATTAAATTACATCATATTATTAGAACAGAAATAAAACTCATTCAGTAATGTTGAAACAGATATCAGGAAAATTGTAGAAATTACGATTTTGAAGTAAAATCAAATCCTAAGCCAAGACAATGCAAAAAAAGAGCCATACATGGCCTAAATTATAAAACAACAGTTATACAATCAAAATAATTATCTTTCAAGAAAGAAATTACCTTTTTATCAAGGTTGATGGCTTTGGTACAATCTGCCTCTGCTTGGAGGAAACTAAATGGAAAACCAAAAAAAAAAAAAAAGTATCAAGTACCAAAAAACCTCAATGGAAGGAGTCAATACTAAAGTGTAAAATATTACCTTCCTAATTCAAGATATGCTGCAGCCCTGTTGCTATAATATGTTGCATTATTGCCACTAAGCTTTATAGCTTCAGTATAAAACCCAATAGCCTTCTGCCATTGTTTATCTTTGTATGCTTGGTTGCCCTGAATCATTGAATTCGTAAACAGAATAAATTTACATAAGACAAAGAAGAAAATGTGCAAACCAAACAGTTTGTGCAAGACTGCTAACTATGTGATACCACACACTAGGCCCTAAGAAACAGCATGAGGATAAGCATATAACAAATCATGCACAAGAGGACATATGCCAAGCCTTAGCGAATAAGCTCACAAAGGGGGCAAATAAGTAAACATATAGACAATTTTTACTTAAAGAAACATGGTTTTCTCTGTTCCTTATCAAAAGTTAGCACTTAATGGCATGCACAGTGATCAAATTTCCTACAGCTACAACTACTTTTCAGAGCAGTCTTACTCTTAACAGCCCTAGCAAGCAATTACTTTTTTCCGTAATGTATCATATTCTATCCAATACTACTCCAATTTTTTCTCAAGTTTTTCAAATTGATTCATCTAGGGCTGTAAACTAATCAAACATGAACAAACAAACATACGTCTGTGGTTTGGTCATTTATTTTTAAAGGTGTTCGAGCTCCATTCATGTTCAGTAAGAAAATTACTCTATTTGTTCGAGTTCGGTTTGTTTAAATGGTAGGATGTTTGCATTTGGTTCGATTAAGTTAAATAAAATTGTTTGTGAACATGAAACGAACATGTTTACAAACATATATAAATGAACATTTCCATGAACAATAAACAAACCATAACCAAACAAATTTAAACGAATGAACCCTAAACGAATATAAATGAACCCTAAACGAATATAAATGAACCCTAAACGAATATAAACAAACCCAAACGAAATAAGCGAACCTTAAAATAGAATTAGGGTAAAAGATAAAAATATAATTTTGTTATTATTATTATGAATGAATAATAAACAAATGAGTTTTAAACGAACCTTAAACGAGCTTATTCACAAACATAAACGAACAAAACAAACCTCTGTTCGTATTCGGTTCATTTAATAAATGAATGTAAGAATATTATTCAAGATCATTTGTTAAAATTAATAAATGAACAGAAACCGAACATGTTCACAAACGGTTCATCAAAAGCTCTGCTCGCCTACACTCCTAGATTCATCTAATGATAACAAACAAGATATATAATAGGTAAAAGTACATGAACTCTAATTTGACTTGACAAAGTGAACTGTGACTGCCCCTCAAATTCCCTGGAACAATGATAGCTTCAGGAAAGAGTTATTAGACATTTTCAACAATTGGTGAGATTTAAATCTGAAATTTCATCATATATTATCACTCAAGTTCAAAACTGACAACAGTACTAAGGAAAGCCCCAATCAGTCTTCATGCTTACCATGATAAATTAAGAGACTGAAGACTTAGTGAATCATGATATTCCCATTGGTTGATGTTGTAATGATAAGGATAAATAGTAACTCATAAGGGGTAGAAACTGAAAAATGACACTCAGTTACTTCAAACACATTCCATGCCAAAAAAAAAAAAAAAACCCTACAAGAAAAGTTTCTACGTAGCAAAATAAATTGATACATATGATAATCTAGTAAATTTCAACATAAAGAAAATCCAACACCCATTTCAAAAGGATTTAAGCGCTTGCTAAATGAATGCTGACCAAGACACTGTCTCCTGACTCCTTTTCCCCAATGTCTCAAGTTTTGATAGAAGCTGTGGCTAGTACTTGGACTACTCAATTTTACAGTTCCAAAAATCTTGTTTGATGCTAAAGCAATAAATTCTAAAGAAATAATGATGCAGAACATAGAGATGATAATTGAAGAACTATATTATTTATGAGATGTCATCTTGCACATCAACTTCCACATATTCATCTGCGTCTGCAATCCATTCAGGAATGTCATTGGCCACATCAGTTTCTGCCACATCATCAAGTTGACAAGAGACCCGTTCCCTCTAGTTTGGATTTGTAGATTACATTTTCTACATACATTTTGACAGATTCACCATCTAAAATTCAGTATGATAAAACATCAATTTTAAGGTTTTAGAAGAGGCATTATCATGTCTCCAAATTGAGAACTTAGAAGAAAGCCTATTTGTATTTTAAAGAGCTTCTTTTCTTGTAAAATTATTATGGTTCTGAGAATCTTATCCTTTAATATTTTACAGGTATGGTGATCCCAGAAAACATATAGCCCTAATTGCTTCAAAAGGGAAAAAGTAACGTGCTACGAGCAATGATTACAAGAAAGCATGTCTTCAGGATCTTGATCTTGTTCCTCAAATATGCTTCAAAACAAGAGGCAAGTTGATAAAGATGTGAATCAGATAGGTAATAATAGTTGAGAGAGTGAGAGGTTCAAATGATTCAAAAGGCTAAAGACAGCATTCCAACAAATGGAAAGTTTCCTTCTATTATCCATATAAAACTCGATTTGATCCTTGAAGCATACCCTAGAATCAAATCTTCATAAGTGATTCACTAATTAAACCTCCAGGAATCTATTTTTGTTCTTTTATTCCAGGTAAAATTTCCTTGATGTATCAGCTACTGTAGGACAGGAGTTCTAATAGACAACCCACTCATTTGTTCCCCACAAATGGAAAGTTTTGGATACAATTCGGATATCAGGCAGATTACCATATATAAAAATAAACAAATCCACAGATTCCTTATAGTCGAGCTCCTAGTCAATTACTATACCCCAAGAAGTAGTAAGAATTACAATCCCCATCCCACCTAAAATCTGAAAATAATGCCATAGCTTCTATTGCTCAGGTTAATCAAGAATTCAAGACGAAAGTTTTGAAGAATCAAAGTTGAGAAGCAAGAGAAACAAGTTGACAAATCAATGTAGTATGACCAGAAAAAAGATACATGAAACAACCTGATTTGGGTCTAAAAAGATTTAAGTTTATGCAAGTGGTCTCAAAAAGATTGAAGTTGTACAAGTTAGGTTAGAAGAGTCAGACACCAAATTCTTAGTGGTTCAAGCAGATGATTAGTCTAGCAAAAATCAAACCTCTATAAAAGGAAACCAGGATCCATTTTTGTAATGGAGCCACAACACTTCATTTTATCGGTCCAACCAATCCAACCATAAATTAGTCTAATTCAAAATATCTGTGACAAACTACTTGGTGAAAATTATTCGATTAGTTTTATTCTACTAGACTAAATCAGTTCAGTGCTGAGATGAAAGAAGCTCTATTGACCATTGATGCCACAGGAAATTTGTTGTTGACAGTGCCATTCATGGGTTTTGCTGGAAGTTGTTTTGCATTACATTTCAAAACTTGAGGTCCACTTTTCTACAACGACGGGATAATGATGCAGGACATCAAAAGGAAAATTGAATGATTAAATTACTTAGGGTTTTTGTCCAAAAAGAAAAAATACTTGGGGTTTCTTTTATTTGTTTAGTATTCTCGATTCTTTATCTTAATTAGTCTTTACTTGTTTACCATGAGCAAGGTTTAGAAGCAGCCCATAAGTTGTCTTTTAATCATCATCGAAAAACCCCAACTATGATAAGAATCCACCAAGACATTCCATATTGACCTTATCGAAAATTTATGAGCCATATTAACTACAAGAGGATGAAAAATTGGCAAGTTTGAAGGCAAGAAAGTTGACACTGACCTTTTCTTTGGCAACCTCAGCAGCATGTTCCTGGTTGACAGCATTATGTGATAATTTAGACTTAGCGACAGTATCAGCATGCTCTTGCAGAGACGAATACATAGTCTGCACTGTATCCAGTAAAAATCGATCACCCCCATGTCTGGCTATGAAGGAAACTGAAACAGGGCACTTATCATGATATCCAAGTGGCAGTGTCACCTGAATCATTAACGAAATACATATAATTTTATATTCATAAAAATACTTCTACAACAATGTGCTTTTTACATACATCAATATATGAGAGAATTTCACCTGACAGCAACCAGATATGCTAGCGATACTCAACAGACTAAACATACAGTTCTCGTAGTCCTCTGAAAAGATTTCCTTGCTACCAAGTTTCAGAGGGGGATAAGCAGTGGTAGGAATCACCAGAATTCCATCATCCTGAACCCAATTCATAAAAAACAAGTTACCTCAAATAAAGCAGGCCAATAGAACCAAAGTGTGAAACAATACTACAAATAAGAGAACTGTAGGTGGACCCTGTAGCAGTGGCATGCATGTCTAGAGCAAAAAAGTGGAAAACATATGCATAATAATGCAACATATAAGCCTATCAAATGTAGCACTGAATCATAAACTAAAAAGGGGAAAAAAAAGCAATTGCAAACATCATTAACAACTATTGAGTTTTAATATTAATGCAAATGTTCTCAAACCATGTTGAATGATAAATTTGCCCATAACATTGCTTTCTATTATGTTTATAGGATGAATACAAAAAACCAAGTTTGAAAAGAACAGACAGTCTCTGAGAAAACTATCATCTCCAGCTTGTCAAACTAACAAAAGAAATTGTACACTCTAGAATCACAGATAAAAAGAACATATGAATCATGAGGTATTAGCAAATACTATAAACAAAAATCAGAAGCTCACTAGAATTGTCAGCCATGTCTTAAACAAACTAAAATAGTAGCTTGGTCTTCTCTCTCCCCTTCCTGTTCTTCCTCCTCCTCATAGCTGAGGGGTAAAACTTTGCTCTATCTGGTACACCATGCTTTGTAATGATGTGACTTAGGACAAACATGAAGGACTATGTTTTAAGTCCTTATCAGTAATTAACTTATTGATCTGAATAGTGCAAACATACAGTTCGAATTCATAAAGGAAAAAACAAGACTAGAGATCTGGTCCATATAAAGCTTAGTTGCAACTCAGATGACTAAGAGTTAGGGAACAATTACATGATTAAAATTAATACTACACCTGAGCTTGATGCACAACACAAATTCACATGTTTATGTACTTGGGTGTGTGTTGTGTATCAACTATGAGGTTAGATGGGGCAATCATCTTTCAACTGCATACCAGAAAGGATATATTAAGTTGAATTGAAATTACATGCAAGATAAATTGCATTTTTTAACTTTACCAGGAAATGAATTGTTATATCTAACAATATATCTCCAACATAAAAAAAATCTAATAAAACTCCTCACCTTCAAAAGAGAATTGACTGCCAAACGCATCTCAGTCCTAATCGATTTGCAGATTTCAATCTCCTTATCTGTCATATCCAGTGTTTCATTTATTTGAGCAGAGATGGAAGAATCAAGAACAGGCCTTTTGGAATTAATCCATTCTTCATGCGTACATTTAAACTCATATCTGCATTAAGAAAGGGTACAAAAAATCTCACTCAAGGCTATGGCCCCTATGGTGTTAAATAAAGAACTGTTCCTTAGTAGTCTGAAGGAAGACAATCTGGCAGGTCAGTTACAGCATCAATAGATATCATTCACTAATAATATTCACCAGTTTACTACAGCACAGAAGAAGACATTTCAACAAGAACTTTCCTACCACTCCAGATTCCCAATTTGCACATCAAATTGCATGGCATTTCATTGTTGCATTTATGTTGTTAAATTGAAAATAAGGCATGGGAGTACAGAAAACTTTTCTGCAATACTAACAAAAAAATGAAGATATGCATGCTCAGGCCTCAGTGTAATGTTTAGTTGATGATGTGAAATTATGGTTACGTAAAACAAGATGAAGAACACGGGATAGAAAAGGAAAAACACAGAGAATAAGGATCAGGCTGGAGAAATAGTGGAACTCGGGAAGGTATAAAAGAAATGAGAGAGATATATCACAAAGAAATAAGAAACAATAAAAAAAGAAAGAAAATCCACTCCAAATACTTAAATTTCAGTAACAATCTTTTTGTTTTTGTACAGACAATAATACACAATCTAAAGAAAATCCACTCCAAATACTCAAATTTCGGTAATGATCAATCTTTTTGTTTTTGTACAGACAATAATACACAATCTAAAGCTGCTAGAAACTAAAATAATTACTTATAAGCTACACCATGAACCTCAATGCAGATACAAAATAAAAAAATAAACCCCAAATGTCCTAAAATTGTCTAGTTACTAGAAGTTACAACCAAATATATAGAAAGATACAAAAATTAATAAAATAAATATCTGAATGGTATAAATGTGAAATAGTTATACCTTTGTACAGCAAATTCATAATCTAGAACTGATAGAAATAAAAAAATGCAACGAACTGTATATTGCACCCTTAACCATCATTTGCAAATATGAAATACCAAAAATGCTAAATGTCCTAATAGTTCCTAAATAATAGAAATCACAACTGAACCTAGAAAATATATAAAATTAGTAACACTGTCAAAATGGTTAATCCTTCAACAAGGATACTCTTGCCACACCAAAAAGATTCATAACTTCATGGTTCAAGCCACAATGAGCTTAATAAAAAAAAAGGGTAACGTGTTCCAAAAATCACACTACAAACAGCAAAAAGAATTGTAAACCATGAAAGTTTTAGAACAAAAATTTTAAATTTTTGCACAATAATGGAAAAGAAAAGGTGAGAAAAAGACGCATTTGTCATCATAGGAAATAACATCAAATGCTAACATGTGTACACACATCATTAAGATGAAACTCACCTTTGAAGAATCTGTGCAACATTTGCAAGCAATCTCATGGATGAAATTTTTGAATCACCATTTATTTTCTGACCATAAAACTCCTTCAAGCTTGGGACCTTAGAACTAAAGTATTTGTCAAGATTTTCATGCTTCAATACTTGTCCTTAAGTAAGTCAAAAGAAAAGTCAGCAATTTTCGCACAACTCTAAACAACAAAGCAAAACAAATTCATTTACATAAAAGCTTATTGCCATAAGGCATATAGGAAAGAACATACTTCCAAAATGCTTCCCAGTGGAATTAATCACCACTTGCAAAACTCTGTCCATGGGAATCTTTAGCAGTTGAAAACAATTGTCAGCTAATAGAATTTGCCTAGGATTGCGTTGAACCGAAAATGGAAGTTGCAAGAGCACAAGGCCAACTCGATGTAGAATGTTAGGATCCTTAGCGAACAATCCTGCAATAGTAGTTTCACAAGTCAAATACAATCAAGTTTAATAAGTGCAAAATAGAATAGTGACAAGATTCTAACTAAATATACCACAAATCTAGCAGAAACATGAAAATTAATAAATAAAGAGAAAAAAGTGCAAAAGAAAATACAGTGCCTAATCAGTGAATGACCAATTGATACACATAATCATGAGTTATGATCATTACCCATACTATTCTGCTGAGAGCCTAAATTCAGCTCCGTAACGTATAACTAACACTATGTTTGGATTGAGGAGAAGGGAGGGGAGGGAAAGGAAAGCAAGGGAAAGAAGGAAACCATTCCCTTGTTTGGTTATTATTCAAATTAAAATAAAGGGAGGGGATTGAGTACCCCTCCAATTCCCTCAAAAGCTGCAATTTTCAATTACCCCAAATTGGGAGTAAACAGAGGGGAAAGGAAAGGAGTGAAATTTTTTAAAATGTGAAATGACTTCTGTATCCTTATTATTGTTTGTTCCTATTTTTCCAAAGAATACCGCTATAATCTTCAAAGCGACCTATGGATGCAATCTTTAAATCTTCAACATCTCATTCATCAACTATTTTGTTGGTCAATAACTTTGGTTTCTACAAGTTTTTTTAATGTATGCTTGGGTCTTAAATCTTTTTTTTTTTTTTCATTTTGTTAATACTTCACAAATTCTGGGGGAAAAAAAAAGACATGGAGAGACAAAGATATACAAGTTTATAATTAATTTTATCCTAATAAAAAATATTTAGATTCTTGAATTTACTCAAGGGAATAATTTTGAAAAGATATTGTTGTATAAAAATAATTCCAAATATATATTCTCTATGGATTAATAAAAAAAATCTTTCTTTAATTGATATTGTTTTTCTTTCATTCACTTTTGAATTTACTTAAGATAATTAGTCAAAACTATTCACATGATAAATAACAAAGTCATTTAAAAACAGTATAATTTGAGCAATGCAATATAATATACTCTTTCCTTTCCTTTCCTTTCCACTACTTAACCAAACAAAGGATTTTCATAATCCTTTCATTTCTTTCCCTTACTCATTTGAGGCTATCCCAACAAGGAAGTGAAGTATCTTTTCCTTTCCTTTAAAAATCTCTCTTTTCCTCTCCTTCAATCCAAACATAGTGTAAATTTAAAACCACACCATGTCAAAATCTTTTAGAAGCAGAGTACACATGCACGGTAAATGCTTCCATTAGTTCAATATGAGAACATGCAAAGCATTTTGTTCAAATCATACATCAATATGAATGTAGCTTATGCACGGAACATGCGTCGTTAAAACTTTAAATCCATGAAAAAGGTTCTCAAGTTTTTCAACCCCAATGTACCAAAATTATTGGACCAATGTATCAAATTGGGTTAATTACATCTTGGTAACTATAGTCAAATTCTCAATTTGGAACATAAAGTTTAAAAATTCACAATTATGTTTGAACTTTGCTTTTGTCCATCAATTTGAACACAAGACCAAAACCGATATCAAATGGATGACATGTCCAAAAACAGACAATAAAAACATGTTGCATGCCTCAAAATGCTACGTTAAAATGCCATGTGTCGTAATTTTATTGCATGCTTTGGACACTTCACCCATTTTACTAATGGTGTTAGTCTTATTTGAAAACTAATGAATGAAAGCAAAGTTCCTAATTAAAAATTTTTAAACTTTAGGTACCAAAACAGGAATTTGACTATAGCTCAGGTACCAAAACAGGAATTTGACTATAGTTCAGGTACCAAATGTGTAATTAACCTTATCAAATTTATGCAGTATGTAATGCATCTGTGTCTATGTACACGTTTTTACATGGCTTAAGAGGTATGCAACCTTAGTGGAGACTATATTGCACTTTTTTCTTTTGAATTTTGGTTGAATTACATTTATGATATTCTATTTTTATTAATTAATAGTTATTATTTACCTTAACAAGTTAAAACTCTAGAAACTTAAACTAGAGTAAAAAATAAATAGTTAGAAAACTTCAACTGAAAATAATTTTTAGTGAAACTTACCTAAAGAAATGAAAGAAGATAATGATTAGAGTTCATGATTAAGAATTTTTATTTACTAGAATAACTTGTATGTGTATTATTTTTATAAAAATAATTAAAATAAAATTCTATAAAACATAATATATATATATACGTGGACACACACACACACACACACTCACACAAACATATATAGGTACACACATAGAAAGAGAGAAGTTGGCAGCAAGTTTCTTAGCCAGAACTACCTCATGGGGAATTTCTATATCAGCATAGGTTATTGCTCAATGTTTATCTACCAATAATTTTATATAACTGGACCAACAACACAAGTAAACTACAACCTAATTGTTAGTAGAATCAGTTCGAGAATAAGACCAGGAGAAAAGGAAAATTCACCAAAAAAAGAAAAGAATATGGAGAAAATTCAACTTAGAAGCTGCTTTGAATAGACAACCATGACCAAACTAAACTTTCAAAGCCAAGAGAGCTAATAGTACTAGCCCCAACATAAAATTAGTTTAAAACAAGACTGATTTAGACAAGCATCTATACATTCAAAATTATCTTCTTTTTGTCACTAAATTAAGAGGAAAATAATAGAAAGCAAACAGAATTGCTTTCATTTTTATTCCATAACTTCATCAAAACATAGGCAAAGAACTAGAGCATATTACAAAGCCTCTTTCATACAAGGAAATAATAATCAAAGAAACTTGAATCAAATAATAACCACTCTATATGATATGCCGAACTATATAACTGCATTTTCCCATATTCCATATGACAACATACAAAATTTACATTGCATATCACCACACTTGATATTTCTTCATACGTACCAACAGTGTCGAGACTCGATGAAACAGGTATAATTCCAGTGTGAGAAACAACACCATATGACGGTCGGAATCCAATAACACCACAAAAAGCCGCAGGTACCCTCACGCCACCAAGAGTATCAATGCCTGCACAAAGTATGTTACATGGAAAATTAGAGCCAATATTACAAAGGATCTTCTAGAATATAATTTTATACAGGATCACGAAGATCTCATCTGTTTGATCAAAGTGACACATTAGGAAAATCAGACTTCCATTCAATAGCAAAATTAGATAAACAAATATCACCAGTTAAAAAGTAGTGTAGTAGAATATCTTAAAATATTACAATTAAATTAAAACTACAGAGATTTTAGTGAATAAGATTAACTTCATCAAACTATCACTTTAGGGATATTCATTCTTAAGATTATATAGAATAAGCTCAATTGTCTAAGGCAACTAATCAATAACATCAACATTTCCCTAAAAAGTCATATATTATATATATGCCAAGACCAACGATGCAACTTGCAGAAACTGAGAAAGCTAAGCATTCAGAAGCACAAAGCACACCTAAAGAGAAGTCCACAAAATTAGCAGCAACAGCAACAGCTGCTCCACTAGAGGATCCACCTGGAATGCATGCAGGTGCAGTAGGATTTGTTGGTGTGCCATAGTGTTTATTTTCTCCATGGATGCTGAAAATCAAACACGCCAAAAGCAGCTAGCATCATGCAAATCTTAGGAACCAAAAGATTAAATCATGTGTGAGACCAAAAGATTAAATCATGTGTGAGACTATTATGCCTAGACCAAGAGAGATTTCCGTCCTTAGTAAATACGGACCAACAATATGCTTGGGAACCATGAGGGAAGGAAGGATAAAGTAAAGAGGAGGAAGGAGAGGGTTTGGTTCCCCTTGTTTGCATGGCTTAAAAAATAAGAGGGAAAGGGAAGGGGGTACATTATCGACCTTGTTTGGTTAAGGAGAGGAAAGGGAATGGAACAATAACTTGTAACTTCATTTTACCATTATATCATTCAGGAGTTAAATAAAATGAAAAAATAAAGATAATTTCATCTTTGCATTAAAAAATTAATAAGTAATCATCCCCCTCCAATTTTCCCCTCCTTTCTTTACCTTTTCCCTCCATTCCCCCAAATCCAAAACACATTGTTGTATACCCAAAGCCTGCTATTTACAAATATAATGGCAAGTACCTATATGCCAGTTCATCCACAACAGTTTTCCCAACACAAGTTGCACCTCCTTCTACAAGGGCCAAAACCACAGGAGATGTCTGAGACGAAGCTTCATGCGTCCTCACCCAGTCTGGATGGCCAAACCCAGTCACATATCCTTCAATGTCAAATCTGATAAGCATGATATACACATCAGCTACTAGAAGCCAAATAGACAGTAACAGACATGATGTTGAACATATGAAAGAGCAAAACCATGTCGATATGCATGTGTAACATAAATAATCTGAATTGACAACTTAAATGCCTAAAACACAAGAGAATATCAGAAATTGAAAAGTTCAATTGAATTTTCCTATTCAACTCTTTAACCATTTCCCTCAAAAGGAGACAAAAAAAAAAGAATGAAAAATAACCAGCCAATCAGAGCATATCTGTGCAGAAAGGCCTAAGGCAAAATCCTGCCCTCAATATCTTACATATGCTTTCAGAAATTAATGGGGCTCTCAATATCACAAAATAAATGAATTCCACTCCAAATTTCGGACCAAATCCTTGAAATAAATAACCCTGAAATACGAGAAATTCTAAAATATTCATAATAGCAGAGAAAAACATTTATAGATTGTTCCTTTTGGGTTTTGCTTCCTCATAAGTTGCTAAGCTAATATGCAACAAACATTCAACATAACAATTCTATATAGACATAAACTCACGAAGTTTGCTACAAATAATTAAAATGTTCATTTTTAATTATTCAAAATTATTACTTCTTTTGATTCCAAACCATTCTGTATACATTTCACTTCAAAAACACCAGAACAGGTAGCAAAAGAAACAACCAAACTCTTATTAAGGTTTATGAATATCAGTGAGAGTCTTTGTCTTATAGAAAGCGAGCTATTATTTCTTATTCAAATACCAGCTTCACATAACTGGATTGTTAATGGCCAAAAAAGAAGCATTCACTCAACTAAGTCCAACTCCGCTACGCCACTCCATTTGCAGCTGACACTAAGTTGAAGCAACAAAATCCCACCAATATTTTGGGCTTTCTTTCTTGCCCTAAAGAATAAATATGCCATACATATTGACCATTAACCTTAACCACTTTACCTATCTACTAAATTAAATGCAACAATTAGCAACAACAATAAAATAAATCCATTAATTTTCATTTCCCATCACTCCTCCACTTTCCAATAACCACAACAGACTCATAAATAAAATATAAATAAATAAAAGAAAACAGCATACACTTCCGAGACGGCGAAATTGAGACTGGTGAGAGGGTGGGGAGCTTTGGGAGGAGCAGGCTGAGGAGGTGGAAGCAGCTCTAGCTTCTGGATAAAAGCTCCAAAGTCAGCTTTAATAGTTTTCTTAAGCCTTTTGGTCAAGAGAACAATTCCGGCTAAACCCAACCCCAGCAACACCCATAGATTGGCGGCGTGAGAAGCCATTTCTGCTGCGCTCGATATTTGAATAAGGCCCTAGAAATTTGAATGACAAAGAAAGAAAGTGATAATTATAATAAAAGAAAGAAACGGAGGGCGGAGGCGTGGCGTTAGCTTGGGTTTTGAAGGGGATTTGGCTTTGGCCTTCGGGTGGATGAGGCTATTGGATTTCTACTTTCTCCAAGAAAGGAAGTTTTTTATTTTATCTATATATAAATATATATATATATATATGAAAAATTATTTAGTTTTTATTTATTTTATATATATATTGGAGAAATTATTTAATATTTTATTGGTGAAATTTTTTAATTTTATAAATAAAATTAAAATAATAACACATATTTTTTATATATTTAAAAAAAATTAATTTAAAAAATAAAATATATATATTATCATTTTAACTCCATTTATAAAACTAAAAAACTCTAATGTATCAATTAATTTATATATATATATATATATATAACCCTATCCTAAATGCACGAAACTCAAGTCAACTCCAATTCTAATCACTCCGAACATTAGATGAATTCAAACCAAAATACATCAAATTTGAAATTAAAATAATTTAAAATTAAATTAAGTATAAGTTTATTAAAAAATATTACTTTAATAAAATAATAAATATAACACAAATATATATAATAAATATAATATAAATTATAACTTATTAAAGTTATTGAAAATATCGAATAATATATATCTTTAATATTAAACTAGTATAAATTATATATATATATTATGTAAATTATAAAATTTTTTATAATTTATAATATGATTTAAAATAAATTATATATTTTTAATTATCAGAGATATAGGTATATATTAATATTTATAATAAATTATATAATCTTTTATAATTATACATAATATCAACTATCATGTGATTTAAAATAAAATGTATAAAATAAGTCATTGATTTATGTTTTTACGTTTTATTTATGTTATAATTATATTGTTAATTTTAATTATGTAATTTAAAATAAATTATATAATGAATTACAATTATATTAAAACCCAAAATAATAAGTAATTAAATTATGAGTTACAATTATATTAAAATAGTTATTTATATTGTAGTTGTATTGCTAATAAAAAGATAATTGTATATTCAATGTGTGCCATAAATAAATATTTAAAATAATTTTTATATGATTATAGTAAATATATAATTATGTATTATAATTAAAAGTTAAAAAATACTTATTATATATTTATATTAAATTAAAATAAATATAAAAATTTTTCAAAAGTGACAACATGATTTTCATATCTAATACATTTTACTCGTACGACATAATTTAGTTAAACATATTTTTTAATATTTTATATGTGTTAAAGTTTATGTCGACATGATTAAATATAAAATATATTTTTCTAAAAACAATACGAATTTTCTTATATTATTTTAGTCTCATATTATTGTATCATTTTTAAATTCGTCGAATCTAATAAAATCATAATTTTTTATTTATATAAAATTAACTTCAATTTAAAGCATATAAATCATAATATTTATTTTATTTTTAAAATATTATTTTTTTACTTTTATTTTTTAATAAAATTTGACTTATATTTTTTAATAAAATTTGACTTAATCTTGATTAAATAATTTATTTAAATTTAATATAATTTAATTCTAAAAATTAATAAATTGAACAAAAATTACCTAAACCAAATGATCTAAATCAAAATAATCCGAGTATCAAACGCGAAATACCTGAACAGATACACCCAAACCAAAAATGACATGAACTTGCCAAAATGACCCAAAACCAAAATGCCTTGAAATGACTAAAACGATCCAATCCAAAAATGATTCGACTTTCTTAGGACCCGAATATGATGAGAATTGGATTGACTCAACTTAAACTTAACACAACCAATCCAACTGACAAGTCTAAGATACATAGATACATATGATTTGCCACATTAACTCTTATGCGAATAATTTTTCTATTTGACATATAAAAAAGTTCTTAAAATTTATTTTCATAATGACACATAGGATTTTTTTTATTTTATGTTATTTATCAAATAAATATATTTAAAAATATTATTAATTTTTTAAATTTTTTAAAATTCAAATAAAAAACAGAATTATATACATCTAATTATTTATGTTTAAAATCAATTTATAGTCAAAATATAATAGAAAAATTCATATATATCATAGTTAATTCAAAATTCAAAAATTACTTTTTTAATTTCAGATGTTTTCTCTTACCAAATCATGCATCTTCTTTATGTATGAAATATTATTTCTTATATGGAATATATATAATTTTATATAAATTAAACCTTAAAAAGTTAGCTAAATGAATTCAATTCAACTATTTAAATTAAACTAAATTTAAAAAATAAATTCATACTACATGTTTGATTAATTTTAATTAGCTACTTTATTTTGACCAAATTGTTCACAATTTTATCGAATAATTTTAAACTTTAGATAATCATAAAATCTTGATTTATGACTACAATCATATTACAAAACAATACCATTGACATCATTGCCAAGAAACCAAAATTATATTTGGTGTTTCTTAAAGCTATTTTTGGATTATTAAATACAAATCAATAATTTCATTATCAATTAATTGGGTGAGAGTTTGGACTATTCAAAAAATAATACAAATTACAAAAGTAAAAAAAAACTATTAATTTTCAAAAAATTTATCTTTTAAACTCATTTAAATTTAAATAACTATTCAAAAATAAATATCCAATGAGAAACGAGAGTCAAAATAATGATCAGATAAAAAATTTGATTTTGAAAAAATAAATCAAGTGCTTAATTGAAAAAAAAAAAATTTGGTTTCAATTTATCCCAACTTCTTTAAAAATAGAGGAGTACTGTAACAGTGAAGAGGAGGATCGGAACTACAGTCTAGCGAGCTTTGGCTTTTGATATCTAAGAAAAAAAAAAAAAAACCGTTAGTAAGAAGCTGTTTGGAGAAAGCACTTCAATCTATGAGTAAAATTTGAGTCTTTGGGGATCCCTGAGAAAGGAAGCCTCGACTACAACAAAAGAGGGAAATAATCCCATGCAACCAAGCTCCTGAAGAAGTATGTTACTTGATTCTCACATAAAATTCCTACTCCTTCAATTGTTAATTATTGTATAGGGACTTAAATCATGCCATTTCTTTTATACATCAATCCTTCAACCCTAAAAGAATTTATTATTCCTTTCAAAAGATAGGTTTCAAGGTTTTTTTTTTATTTATGTATGTTGGTTCAATTTATTTTGCTCTAATCTATAATTGGAGAATTTCACTTTAGGATACAACTAGCAATTAAATTTCTGTTAATAAAAGTACTGAATCCTAATAATTATTTCGATTAGAAGCCACTTAGCAAGTATATTTCTTTTTAGAAAAAAAAAAAAAAAAGATGAATACTTATCATGTAATAATATGATATACAAGAAGGTTATCGCACATCACTTTTCATTTGATTGTTTTGGGCTTTGAATTGTACTTATGTCGGTTACGAAATGTAAAATTTAATTATCAATAATTATGAATTCATTTAATTTTTATCAGCAATTTTGAATTCAGAATCATATCATATGTAATATAATATAACAAATTACAAGATTATTAGATAAAGTTCGTTTTCATGAATGATTATGCGGACATCTCCTCTTGAAGACACATAGAATAAATCCTATAATTTAGATATTTTTTTAATGTATTTTCTAACATATCTCTTTTTAAATCAAAATATATATGTATATATGATTTAGATATAATTTTTTAAACTCGATTTTCTAACAATCTATACATATCTCTTTTTAAATGTAAAAAATTCAAATATAATTTTTATCTTTATAAATTTCCTAATAAACAAAGATTTTAAATTCGATTAGCAATACTCTTCTAAAGGAAAAAGTTTGACCTATATTTACTAAAAAATTATGAGCTAAAATATTCTTTCCATGACAAGGAAAAGGTAAAACTCTATAAAAGTCAATTATGCATGATAAGCTTTATTTACAAAGATTAATTTAGACAAATTTTCTTTTAATTAATAGAAAAAAAGAAGTATTTCTTTAACATACTTGGATGCATTACGACAATTATTTCACAAATAAGTTGTAGACACCGATTTTGTCCGGGTCTATTGTCTTCATTTTCAGTTTAATAATAATAATAATAATAATTAAAAAAAAGAAAAAAAAAGAGAAAGATTAAAAAAAAATAGATGGCTAGAAAATGGTGGCGCTGCCGGCCCCAGCAACCCCATTTAACCACTAGATTAGTCCCATCAGACCAACCATGCTTGACCTTTGCCACCCCTACAACCACGCGTTACAGACACCTACAGCCACATTTACAGACTCCTAGATCACTTGCCCGAACATACGTCCGATTCTATAAAGACCCTAGCTTCCTTCCTTTCCAGAGGAGGATCCATACATAAAAACCCCAACTCATTTCATTAAAAAAAAAAAAATCTCTCAGACACAGAAGCTAAAAAAGCAAACAACCGAAACACCAAAATAGAGAAACCAAACCAAAAAAAAAAAAAAAAAAAAAAAACAAAATAAAAACCACACAGTCCTCCTCGTAAGGAGGAACCCAACGCCAAAAAAGCTACCTACAAAAAAAATAGTCAGTCGATTAAAAAAAAAAGGGAGACCGAAACTTTGAGCCTTGATCTACGTTGATCAGGGTTGTTTCTGGTGAAAAGGATATTGAATCCAGAAAGCACACATCGAGAAGAACATTTTGACATTTTTTTTGGATTTTTCGACCACCGATGACCGGCGCGGTGTCTTTTGTGGTGTCTTTATGTTTGTCATTTTAATAAAAGATTTAGAAGATGCATCCACATTTCTTCTATTATTTTCATCTTCATTTTGCTTTCCATTTGCTTTTTCCATCATTTTTTTGCCATTCTATTTTTGTGTGCCAATATTCTTTTCATCTTACCATTTTACAAGGTCCCAAATAATGAACATGAAGATAATCATGGCAATAATCTTGGATTTGAATTTGAAAACTTAATTCATGTTGATGAACTTGATAATAAGGAAGATTCAGATAATTACACATTGTCTCTTGATTTGTTAAAATTAATGGAATATGAAGATAAGCCAATTGAACCCCACCAAAAAATAGTCGAATCAGTAAATTTGAGAGATGATGAAAATAAAAGAGAGGTTAAAGTTGGTACATCTATT